GAATGAATGGATGAGAGTGTGTTTTCCTGCATTTTCTTCTTCTTTTTCGCTATTTCTTTCTCTCTCTCTCTTTTTGATCTCGGGATCTCGGGATCATTTGGTTGGTGGACGGATTGACTGACTTAAATAGGTATTTCTCCGATGGACGGAATGCCGTAAGCTAAGGTGAAGCCTAACAGACGAACCCAGTTTATTAGAACAGGTAAGCAGGCTCTTGCATATTTTGCATGAAAACTTTTTTTTCGACCCTTTTTCACGAGCAAGATACGGTACCAGCATCGCAGATCATGATATCCATAGATGAACACGAAATGAGAAGGAAGGAACCCCAATTACTTGCTCCATGGCAATTCTCCTACAGTACAGCAACAGTTACGAGTACTGCAGCAATCATACCGTATCATATACCATAATATTATCGCAACTGCAAAGCATCACACACGACTCGGGGATCTTATTCCAGATACATGGTCAATGGGTTTACATACAGTACAAGTATCATACTGTACAGTACGGTACCTCCCTTTCCTCCCCCATCTTCATATAGACGCACTCAATCCACGATGGCCGAAATCTAGTGGGTACTGTGCTGTACCTACGTCTATAACTACCCGTACCAGCACCGGCACCGGGAGACTATATACAAAAAAACCATAACATCAATTCGTATGAAAATACTCCTTAGATTGCTGTGCTATACTGTGCTAAACGTCGCATCAGTACTGTACCTCACAACCTTTGAAAGAAGAAAAAAGAAAAAAGAAAAAAAGAACCCTTCCCTACAATCCTGGGATGGTAAATTGTTCACTTTCTTCCCTTTCCACCCCCATCCATCCATCCGTCCATCCATCCATCCATCCATCCATCCATTCCTCACCCCCCATCCCTCCCTCACCTTACCCCCAAACTGTGATAACTCGCACGAAATGGCTGCTTACCTTGGTGATGCAAAGGAGGAGAGAATGGAAGAGAAAAAAACTTTTTCCAACCAACCCAACTAAGCCTATCTGTCCCCCCTTCCTCCCTTCTCCTCCTCTCTCTTGCCACCCATGACCACACAGCACAGTATATACCCACTCCCCAATAAAGAAAGCTTCCGGCTATGCCCGCACCTAAACTCGGGGAGGGGGTCCTTAAAAAATCGGAAACTGGTGGGATGGAGATCTAAGGGATTAATTATTTGATCGAAAGATCATGTTAGAATAATAGGGTGTTGCAGAAGTTAGAAATCCTAACCTGTTGCTTTGAAGTTGCAAACCCCCTCCTCCCGATTGAACAAAGTGAGAATCAAGGTTTAGTTAGAGGGGAAGTATTTTCTGGTTCTTCTGATATACTTGTAGACTCTCTTTTATTTGTTGCTATCATGTTTTGCTGTTCTTGGGACATCATACCTGATAGCTACCATACTGTACTAGTACTTATTATTACTTACTCCCGGTTGCTATTGTCTCTACAAGACGTTTTTAATTACCAAAAGTTGGTTGGACTACCGGTACGCTTTTGGACCCTTGCTACCAGAAACAAGGATCTCGCTAGTTTCCGATTTCTAACGATCTCCCCCGTACGAGTACTGTACTCGTACAGTACTAGTACAGTAACATGCAAGTTCCGCTCCCCCTATTTTCCGGATAAGTGCATTTTGCACTTTTTTCAACACCACTATACAAATTTTTTTCTTTCATGGCGTAATGTGACCTGTCAGGTTACCCGAACACTGACTCAGCTGAGGTTAAGAAACAGATAGGCTACTCCAGAATATGGCTTCCTCTAGAGAGGCTATGGAAACCAATCGGTCAGACTTCCCTGAATCGCCTACTCCTGGTGGTGGGCTCACGGGGGAAGATCCTGGCTTCACTCAAATCAAGAAAACCCTTTATGACTTTTTGTCCATGCACGGGCTACCGAAGAACTCCCCTGCTGCCAAGGTAGTCACCTTGTTGGATGAAGATGACGTTGGGATGGCAGATATAACAACATACTTGTTGATACTGGGTCTGGCACAACAGGTCAAGGCGCTCATGGTTGAGGTGCAAAACATGGCCAAGACGATCCGGGATATCAAGAACGAAGGAGAACTGATCTGCGAGGGTCAAACGAAAATGGTTAAGATCTTGCAAAAAATGCCTGTCGAGGTTTCCAAGTCATACGCACAGGCCATGGCAGATCCTGGGACACAGACCCCTAAGAAGGGAGATAAGAAGAGAAAGGCGGATTAGGCACCGACGTCCCCGAAACAGCCAATCCAAAAACCCTGAGAGGAGACCATGAGACTGACAAAGAGGACCAGGGATGGGAGGTGAAAGGGTCAAAAAAGAAATTGAAAGCGAAGCACTCGGCGGCTAGGAAATTGTTCACGACTAGGACTCAGGTGGTCCCACTCAGGTACCAAGCCAGAGACGAGGCCAGAATATCCATTGTGATCACGGACACCCTGACGAAGTGCAAGTACAAAGCTCCAATCAACCTACAGGTTTCATCTATTTGATGGAATGGTATGGTGTCGCTAACTACTCTGGCGGGTTTTGATTCATCGCACTACACGAAATACCTAGAGAAAATGACCGAGGCATTGAACTCAGTGGTTGAGGATGGGGAGGTACAGTTCCTGGCTTTCAGGAGAGCCCCAACCGATGTGGATGTGCTCATCCATGGAGTGCCTTTTGATGCCATCCTGGAGGACGAAAAAGAATTATCTGTGGACGTCAAGAGTGCTCTCAAGCCGTCCCATAATATTAATGTTTCAAGCACCAAATACCTCAAGCTGAGAGAGGGTGATAGGGAAAGGAAGAGAGTGACGTCTATTATCATAAGGATACCGGAGGCCGCGGTTGAAAAGATCACCCCCAGGGTCCTGTTCTTGGGGAAATACAAGAAAGCCAACGTTATGTGACAAGCGAATTCAACCATGCAGTGTACCCAGTATTGGAAGTTTGGATATCCTAAGATAGGTTGTAAGCAAACCAATGACACATGCCCAATTTCATCAAAAGACCACATTGAGGAATCCCACAAATGCTATCAAACTGCCTGTAGGGGCTACAAGAAGAAAATACCAGATTGTTGTTATATGATACCTGTAAAATGCCCGGCCTGTGGGGGATCATATTCAGCCAGGGATGCGGACTGCCCAGAGAAGGTCAGGGTCAGGGAGCAAGCAAAGGTGAAATATGACCAGCGGATGGCATCCCTTGCCAATGCAGGAACTTT